GTTAAATTTCTGGAACTCAGAGATTTAAGACAGTTGCAGGTTCCACAGAAATGCAGAATGTGTCACCCATGTGTTCTACTGGTGAACTTCTATGGATAGGCATGAACAGCAGCATTTTTCCTTTGTTTGGTATATTGTATATGTTGCAATAAATTATTGAGACAGATTCTTAGATGTCTTTTTTTAAACTGATACATGCCATTGTTTCCATATTCTTGCAAGCATCACCTACAGAAGTGTGTGCTACATGTGATGTTTCCCTGGAGCTCAGCTTCAGTGCTCTGGTGAATTTTTAGGATAAAATCTGTATTTCTGCCAATTTCTACAAAGTAGACTCAGTTGTATTCCAAGAAGAAGAAAAAGGAAAAAAATAAAATCCAAACAAAAACATTTCCAAAAACCATGAACACTCCCCCTCCCCCCGAAACACTTCACTTTGCACCTTGGCACATTTTACTTTGTAGATTGGCAATCTTTCACATTCTTAGTCACTGCTTTCATACCCTCGCCACCATGAGGAAGGTGATACCAAACTAATGCCTTACTTTTCCATGGAAGTTTAGTATCAGCTGCATTTTTATAGATTAAAGGCCATGGTAGGAAAATGATACAATTAGAAAACTGATCTCATGAAGGGTAATGCAACAGGGTTCATAAGCTGTAATAGAAGTTGCAAGATCTCCCTATGTGGGAGTTGATATCACATTGAAGGCAGGTTAAAAAGAAAGCCTGAGGGTCTGGCTCAATTGCAGACTGTCAGAATTCATAAGTGAATGAAACCGGTGAGGGAAGGAGTTGTTGGCTAAGAAATAGGGTGAGCTGTACAGGACTCTGAGCTGTACAGAGATGGGAAGCTGCAGGAACACATTTGGAACTGGAATGGGAATGAACTTCTTTTCACTGGACCGCATGTGTGTTACCCGCACATTAGCCCTTACTCAGACCACCTTATATGTCAGATGTGCCTTGGGTGAAGAGGAGGGAGTGAAAGAGATACGAAATATATGAATTAAATATTTTGTATTAGTAAATAAGACAAACTCTCTTTCCATTCACAAAGCTGTAGCAATTGCAATTAAGAAAAACTTTCATGCCTATACCAGGCTGCTAAAAGAGAGAGACCTAGACTTCCAAATGTAAGCCCTGCACCTACACATTTCTAAAGTCTACATGAAAGAAGGGGGGTTTCTGGAGTTGGGATACATGGAAGGGGATGTAGAAGAGGGAGGAACAAGCCTGGGACGATGTGTGTTATTTCTGATTTTGGACCTGTGAAGTTTATTAGGAAAAAGGTAAAACTTGTTGTATTTTAGTGTCCTAATGTGGCTTAATCTTGATTTGAGACTTTAAATCTTTCCTCTAAAACCATCTCATATGGGATAAGCTGTGCTTGCCAGTAAGTGCTGGCAGCATCTCTCTGTGTTTTTGGTGCTAAAATTCAGGTTGCTTGCAGACATGCTCAATAAAACTCACAGGATCAACCTGCTGTTCTTCCTTTGCAGCAGGCAAGGTATGCCCCTTGCAGTTTTACCTTGTCTGAATATGTATAGTAATTGTGGAACACCAGAAGGGAAAACATTAATTCATCTTGATCTGGACCCCTCTACATGAGGGCTACATAGATACTCTGCATCCATTTCTGTCAACTACAGTTTCCTGCAAGTCTGAGTTTCAGTGACATTGTTTGCAGCAAACACATGTGGTGCTGACTTATTAGAGAGTTTGGTTGTGTCTGTGCTTAGGAAAGGAGTATTAATTCTGGATGATTAATCTGTGTGCTCCTACACTGTTTTCAGTAACTTTCTTGCACCTGGAAATACCTTTTTTAATATTAACCGAAGTACTGCGCCTGTCTAATGAGGTTATAATCGTTATGTTTATTTAAATGAACATGTCTGCGGCTGGTTTTTCACATTACCCAGGAGCAGCACTAGCTCAGCAGCTAGACCACTTCCTTGCAGCACCTAGGTGGCACACTTTCCTCTTTATTTTTCTCTGTGAAGGTACTGTAAGTGGTATTTAATCTTGCTGTTCAAAGGACGTAAGTCAAGCAGTGGTCGTGACGAAACCCAGGATCCATTGCTCTAACAAAAGAAGGGTATTTGCACATTATTGTGTCATTATTTTTTAATTTACCACCCTTCCCCCCCCAGTTTTTACAGTAGGGCGCAAGGTGAGGATGTAGCCGAGCTGCGAGAGGCCCCTGTGCGGTGGCTGCCTGCCGTGTCCCGCTGTCACCACAAGGTGGGGCAGGTGACAACGGAGCGGGGAGCATGAGGGTGCCCGGCGCAGCACAGCGAGGGCGCTCGGCGGGACCTGGGCTCTGGACCTCCGAACGGGGGTCGGGGTTGAACCAGACAACAACTAGTGTTTCCAGCTAGTGCCTTCCTCGTTTTCTCTGAGCGTTTGCTTCCCTGTGAGGGTGGTGAGACGCTGGCACAGGGTGTTCAGAGAAGCTGCGGATGCCCCATCCCTGGCAGTGTTCAAGACCAGGTTGGACACAGGGGCTTGGAGCACCCTGGTCTAAAGGAAGGTGTCCCTGCCCGTGGCAGGGAGGTTGGAACTAGGTGAGCTTTAAGGTCCCTTCCAATGCAAACCCTTCTAAGATTAATGTTACCTTCTGCATCAGTGAAAATAAAGTTTGCTTTGTTTTTAAGCTCTTTGTAAATTATTTTAAATGCCTAAGAAGTCTTTTCTGTGGAAAAAACCAAAAACAAACATCACAACAAGAAGAAAACCAACCAAACAAAAAAAACCCCACAAAAAAACCTAGACATCCCCCCAAAAAAACCCAAACAAAAGCGAAAAAAAAACCAAAACAAAAAACAAGCCAACCCCCCTGTCTTAAAAAAAAAAATGAAATTGTGAGAAACAATTGAGCTAGTTTCTCACAAAATTAGTATCTGAAATGCCATAGAACTCAAAAATTAAATAACTGATTTATGCTAATTGCCTGCCTAGCCCAGTTCAAAAGTATGAAATAAAAAACCTCCAACACCACCCCCCCCCAACAACAACAACAACAAAAAAATGCTAATACATGAAAGACATTCTTACTTTTTCCTTGGGAAAAAAAAAATTAAAATTGGTAGGTTATTTTTGGTATAATTGGCTAGCTTATTTTTCATTCGTTGGAAGTTTTATTGGGATTTCCCTCCCCAGAGATTTTAGCTGTAAGTAGAAGTTTTTCTTTGAACTAGTTTAAACTAAGGCCTTCTTTCTTGTCACGCACAGACAGGGAAATACTGCAAGATGCTGGATTAGCTTGTTCGCTTTTCATTGTTTTCTTTTGTAGCAGCAATCCGTTTAGCTATGGTATGCTGAGTTTATCTGATTAGCACTTAATGAGTGAAGGGAATAGGGGAAACGTTGCATGAGTTACTTAAGCCTAATAAAGTTTTCAGTACCTTCCCCCTCTTTCTAAATACCTGAACTTTCCTGACCCCCACCCCTTGCTTTTCCTCTCAGTTGCAGCTTGTTCCCACACGAAAGGCGCTCCCCCCGCAGCTTTAACTGTCAGAAGCAGTGGTGCCATTAGCCAGATTTTGTTCAGTGCACAATGGTCACAACATGCATCCTGCTCTACAGTGTTTGACAGCCTGTCTGGAGCTTTTACAGATTCAACTGCTGCTGTTATGCTGATGCACATGGGTTACCTGGGAACTCTTGCTGGCTGAAAACACAACCTTTAGGACGAGTATTTCTAACTTAAAATCATTAACTATAACTGTAAGCAGTAAAATGGTTTCATTAGTTCTATTAGCAGTGACATTTTAATGAGGATTCACTGGAGCCTGAATAATTACATTACATAAAGAAATTCAAGAAAGATGAGGTTAGTAATGCTTAAAAACCATGTGTGCCATACAGATTGAGGTTCTGTTACCATAATTATCTCGATAAGTTTCTTGTTCAGCTCATGTTTTCCTCTGCACTTCAAATTGTTTTCCCTCTTTTAGGTTTAATTTTTCTTTTCACTTGATACTGCATTGTAAAATTTTTAATACAAAAGCAAAATTCTGAAAAATTTAGAGAAATAACCTGTATTAATTTATGATACTTAAATATATCTTTGGTGGTTCTGTTAGTTTTATACAAAGTGCAAAGTTGTCTTAATACCAATGAAAATAGGTCAAAGGAAGGTACAACTGACATCTGCAGGTTATTCTTCATACGTGGTAGGTACTATAGTGGTTGAAGTAATTAGGAAAAAGCCAAGGAAAAAAATAGGTAGATTGTCAGTAAGACAATTCTGTTGCTTGGAATATCTGAATCTTTACAGGTAGGCACCTCTGAAAGTATTTTCAATTATACCTGCTTAAGAATACAGATTTTTAATAGAAATGATCTCATTTATCACTGTCAGCATCCCAAATTTATAATAACAATAGTAATCATGTTAATAGTCTCAGCAATAGGCAGCTAGTAATACCAGTAGCAATCCTGTTAGAGCAGAATGTGTGTGTATGTTTTTAAATAATTTTAAAGATATTAAACAAATGCTAAAGGTGCAGGAATG